AAAGACATCACCTCTACTCACACCAGGAGGTGATTTGAGGACGTGAATGTGTGTAAGTGTTAACTCTTACACCCCAACATCTCTTATTTCGCCACGGGTTGAGGCTTCCCACGTGCTATCATAGTTCACATACCCGAGTGAGATGATATGGGTACGAAGATTGGCATGCTCGTTATTGATAATGGCAGGTGGGTGTGATTGTGTCTGTCAGATTGACCAGGGCATTGTGAACACCGGAGGAGACACCGTTTGACTAACTGCCACCTCTCCTGTCCCTTCGCCGTTCTCCACCCCACCCGACGCACCATAAACAACGACGCGACAATGGAAGCCACGCATGCGCCATGGCTCAGCAATCCAGGTCATTGGCACACAACGAAGCGTGCGCCCACTTTGGTTACGGTAGCGACAGTCTGGTGTGAATGTGTCAAGATAAACCAGTAGCGAATGCATTCATTGCAAGTAAAATTGCTTCGTTGACAAGTGCTCCTAAAATGCGCGAGCACTAATCTGAAATATTTGCAGACAATGCATCCCTGCTTCCCAATGCAGCTTGCTAACAGAAGGCAACTGTGGTTATTGCATCTCCTCTGGGATGTAATGGTGATGTCTGCACCAAATTCCGACTCACATGCAAGAACATTCAAAGGAGTAAATTGAAATATCGTGGCCAGTCGTTTAAGCAGTAGTCAATTTGTGATTATCGAAGTGGGAAGATGAACTGGTCGACAGCCATGCACGAAGCTGGGGAGGAGAGAACGTGTGTAGCCATTTGCTCTTCTCTTCATCATGTGGAACCATGTCGTGGTATGCGGGCAATGCCATCAGCCAATTAATATTACTGCACAGCAATAATGCTTGTTCTTCACGCTGCATCGGCCAGTTAGGACTTCGGCGAAGACTGAGCCGACATTGTTGCTTAAAATAATTCGTGAATGAAGTAGATATTCATGCACTTTATCCAGGCTGGTGACAGCGCATTAAGTAAATTGTAATACGCTAGTGATTTATCCTTCGGTATTGGTGAGGCGCGACTTTTGTACTTGGAATTAGCCTTCTTGTACTTTACTGGGTAGGCTAGCCTTTCGGACCATGCCAATAGCCCAGACACCTTCTCTGCGCTGAATACATATTCTGCCCAAGCATTTTGTCTTCTTTCGTCTTCAAGGAGTCTCAGGAAGCTACAAAAGGGGTTTTTAGCCCTATATATAGTATTTGAGAAAGCCTATGTAGCGGTATTGCATTAATGCGTGATTTCGAGTTATGTCGAAGTGTATTTAATACAAAAAGGCATGCTTTCCTTTGTAGCAAAACTAGTTAATGATTTCACTGCGGTCAAATGTTACATGGAACATTTTTTTTCGAATAATTTGATCTGAAATGTAAAACAACTTAAAGAACATAACATTTTTAGAAATATTTCTTTCGATTAACAAGCCCGATATTTTGCTATTGCTATTCCCTTACTAAATGAGAGTTAACTACTCAAGTTTAGCAATAGTGGAAATGCTGCTTTAATACTTGGCAATATTCCAAGCATAAATCTTCTAAAAATTTTCTAAACACTGCTTAGTGTGACAGCTTTCGGCTGTACAATTTTGAAATATACTTTTGCTGAGCTAACTTATAAGGAGGCGCGCTTGCTTTTCGTGCCTATGATATGCCGACCCATGTGCTGACACTGACACTGTTGTTTCGAATGCTCTCTGGATTAACACGTCCATTAACAAATGCAGGCTTTTCTTCTGCCGTTTGTTAAGTACCACTTAGCGAGACAGTATTTGGTGGCCAATATTTGTCGGCTCTCGGTTCTTCTTTTTCCTTAAACGTCACAAGTTAGCGAAAGATAAGCTCGTGCTGCGATAGACAATTGCCTTATTAATTGCGGCTTGCTTTGCATTTCAAATCAGGTTAATAATATTGTTCTTCCTCAACAGGCATCAGACAGCCTCATGCAGCCCCTTGAGGGTCGGAAAGTGGTGCGAGTCCAACTGGCATGCCCCGCAGCACGCTTTTCCGCTTTCCACTCAGAATATTGCTGTTTCTCCGTCGTAACAACTACTGCACCTCCTCTGTTTACCAAATTTGTAAAGTGTTGGCGACTTCGGGTCAAACATTAGTGGAACTCATTAGGTGCAGTATGGAATTAAACCAGCCACACAGTGGTGGGTTTCTGAAGGAGAACCCGTCCGAGTTAGTTAGATTTATTCTTCTCGTCTGCAGTATTTGCCATTTTACTGCCATTTTACATTATTTTCACCGGTAAATTGTAGCGCTTCCGATGTGGCCCACAGTCTGGACGAACTGCATCGGGTTGGGCCATTCCCCCAAATACCGGAGTGGAATGATATGTATGAGAAGATTGTCACGCTCGTGGTCGGCCACCGCAGGTGCGTGTGATTGCGTCTGTTCATCTTTAGCTATCACTTTGTTGTCAAATAAGTGCCCCATTGGGATTTGTAGGATCCACATCGAGAAAGCGGTTTCTGGCATTCGGGCTGATGTTAATGGTGACTCAATGTTAGTTGATGGAAAACTAAGTGGGTGAGTTATCCGTTAGTTTTCGCTTTATTGTTTTTTTTCCTTTGCAAAGCATTGACTTAAACATATGGTCCTTGTCAAGACTGGTGTGGTTGTTGCCCACTTTCCTTGTCACCAGCTTAGGCCGACTGTCGAATGTGTTGATGACTGGTCGGCTAATATTGGGAGTTTGCCGCGTTCCCGTGGTAGGCTATGGCCACTTTACTCGTCCCGTTTTTTTAAGAAAAAGACATATTTGCCCTATTATTATGTGACAAAATTGTGGATGTATTGTGCGCTTCACATCCTATAGGTGAGGAGCGATTTACTGGCTCCTCACAGATTGTTAATCACATCTTCATTTCATGCTCATCTTCCAACACTTTGATCCATGCCAGATAGTATGGTGGTGGTATTTTTCCTGATTTCGTAAATTAGCAAGAAGTGTGAGCAGCGAGAAGACATCGGAACTGCGTTGTTTGTGTGACATCTTGTGGATGTTGGCGAGGTGTGCGTGCCCTATTGTCCGCTTGCAGGCCGCACTGCTTCATATTGCCTAACCTCTCGCCGCAAATGTCACTGATGATTGGCAGATTGCGTTATGTGGGTACACATGTCACAAATGTGTGACGTGTGTTGGATATGAGTTGGTGTTTATTTCGGCAAAGCATGTTGCAGGATGATGTGTTGGGATGTGGAATCTCGTCAATTGGAGGAGCATTTGAGTCGTTGG